CTCTATGAAAATGACTAGTGAAAGAAAAGAAGTAAATGAGTTGAATCAGTACTACAGACTTGCCTCTGCAGGCAGAAAGGAACAGTCTGGTACTGGGGAATGGTTCACTGCAGGCAGCTGGGCAAAGCTCACAGCATGGCCTGGAGTGGTGTAAAAGGAGAACAACCAATGGTACCATGGAGCTCCCCAAGACACCTTCGTTCCTGGAGAACAAAACCAACCAGCTCCTGTGTGCTAAGTGGAAACAGGCTCGGCTGACTGGCTTTTCAATCACACCAAATCCCAGAGCTGTGACATGCAAGGAACGGAATCAAAGTTACAGATATAAGCAGCAGTAAATCTTTTAACACCCTGGGCAGTTGTTGTTTCCTACTCGCTCTAACCTGCCTCTCAAGCAGGCCTCCACCTGAATTGACCACTTAACAGCACCACAGGTTTCAAGCCTAGGCAGCCCTACATAGAAGCACTGAATTAGATAGTTGTAATTTGTGACTCCTTCTCTTTATCAGAGCAGCTGGAAACACAACAGCCTAATGACAGACACAACACCGTTTTCTAAAATGGACCCAGGGATGGGATGTGGGGGGTGCAGTCATGACTTAGAGGTAATCACTGCTTGCAATAGAAATGCATGCACTTCAGTAGTGGTCAAGACTGAGTGCCAACAGTTCGCTTTCAGACAGTCCACTTCTGGTGCCCAGCAAGGAGTTGCCCAGACAGCCAAAAAGAAGCACTAACAGCCATCCACTCAACAGTCAGGGCTGGACTGGGCTGTCAAGATCCTCATCATCACCTGAAGCATGGAAGATCAGGAAAGCAAACACACTTCCCTCCAGATCACTTATTGCCATACCGGAAGGTCAGCATGCACCTTCCTTCTCTGACTGGCTCAGTGATTCATAACAAGGACCAGACCTCACATCCTGCTTGGCAAGCCCTTTCTGGATGGCTCACATTGTAACACGGGACACCCTCCTGTGCATAAACTTGACCTTCTTGACATTTCTGGCAATTCAGTCTGAGCACATAAACCATCTCCCTGCTTCAAATCTGAGTGGAAATAAATGTCAAGAGGTATCAGTTCATTAGAGTGATCTCAGAGCTGTTCCTATAGAAAGGAAAACACAGATTTGCTCAAGGAAATAGTCAACCATTTTCTTTCTCATTATCTCAGGCCTCTTCAAATTAGGTCTGAATTAATCAAGGGGCAAAGTCTATTCAGCTGGCACCATTTTACCCAAGAAGATGCTAGCTGGCTTTATTGCTTCCTCTCAATGGTTCTGCCAGCTCAGTCACAGACAACTCCAAATCACTACCACTAGTGGATGGAACTAGTATTACAATAACTGTAAGGCTACCCTTTCCCAAGGCCACCACAACACCAGGGACTGATTACTTGTCAGCATTTGTAACCATAACCCCCTCCTTCTCAGGTAAACACTCTTTGGATACTCCCAAGTCTAAGGGTCTTTCAGACTTGGATGACAGCAGCATAAACTGGAGGTAGAAATCAGACACATAAAAACTAAAGTTATTGTTTCTTTATTCTTTAAATAGAATTGCTCCAGACATCACAGAGCTACAACAATACAAGTGTTTGCACAACACTTCCTTTTCCTCCCCAGCTTACTACTGTTCAGTTGCTAATCTCACCCTTTTTTAAGGCTATTCAAAGAGGGAATGGATGAGGGAATGGCTGACTCATAGGGCTTGCGTGATATGTTAAGGGATACCCATCATACCTTGAGCTTGGCTTGGATTTCTCTAGCTTTCCGCCTTGCCAGGACCTGGATGTGACTAGATACCTGCATTGAAAGACAAAATCCATCTTCATTCCAGAGGAGTACTTAGTAGCTACTTGCAGAAGTAAACATAATTTAGGCACCCTGTGCAATAGGGAGTTATTTAGGGTTACAGGGAGCCGGGGGGTTGAGGTAGCAATGAGGTGCTTTTCTGAACGTAACTTAAGTGTCATGAAATGAGGTGGGGGACCAGCAAAGATAGGCTATTTAAGGCATTTTCCAACTCAAATGGCTTTATCAAGTCAGAGACCTCCTCCAAAACTACAGAACCCATCCTTAAATCTAGGGATTGAGAAATCTGATCTCTTTGCTTCCCATCTTAGCCCCCCTCTCGGGAGAAGGGAAACCCATGTTCCATATCCCTGGTCACTATATAATGACTCTCAGAACTTCCCCATGTCTAATGTGGGCTAAAACACGTCACAGAATGATTTATGTTGGAAGGAACTTCCGGATGTCCTCCCCCAATCCCCTACCAAAAGCAGGTCTATGTTTCTCAGTGCTTTGTCCAGCATAGCATGGACTGTCATTCCCAAGTTATAAAGATTCCTTTTTCATCCCATGTATTTTCAAAATCACAATTGCTGTCCATCTGTCTGGGCTGAACAAAGAATCTTCATATAGAGGACCGCTGATGTTCACCGAAAGGTTCATTAGTAGACCAAACAAATAAAATCACACATTGTTTAATAGTAGAAAAATTTGTGTGTCATGATGTGATTGGGAGACACGAGCATTACAGTCCTACTGTAAAATGCCTGAGCTGACTTTTCACACCATTCGTATTAACCAGCTCAGCACAACCACCTCTCTCCAGCAAAGCCAGAAACTAATAGCAAGCGAACAGCAAGGGATTTGTTCTCACAAGCCCCCACCATGTCCATTAGCCCAAAGAAGCTAATGGTTAAAGGGAAAACTTTACACTTACCTGTTTCCTTGTGCGTGTTTTCCCTGTTCTCAGTTTAATATAGCGGGCAATCAGCTCATTTCGGCCTGGAACAGAGAAATAATGCAAATATAAGTTTAGAAAGCTATGACCCCAGGGAAAAGATGCACAATGGAATTATATATCTACAGAGATCAGCAGTAGAGTGATACTCTGTCACACTATTTTCTCTCTTAGAAAGGTACTCATTAGTTCACATGGTAGAAGTCCGAGGTTTAGGAGTAGAATTTTGGGCTACAAATTCTATTTCCCAGTTTGTATCTATATAGCTTTAAATTACCAATAAAATGAGAATCATATGCTTTGCTAATAATAACATTACCACAATGTGTAGAAGCTGTAAACTTGAATCAGGATTGCTGGTACAAACAGAAGAAAACGGAAAGCCACTTGCCCTAAAACATTCAGAAAGGCAAGAAGGAAGATCCAGAAAACAACAGGCCAGTCAGCATCGCCTCAGTCCCTGGAAGATAATGGAGCACATAATCCTGGAGACCATTTCCAGATATATGAAGGACAAGAAGGTAACTGGAAGTAGCCCATATGGATTTACAAATGGGAAATCATACTTAACAATCTGAGAGTTTCTACAGTGAGGTGACCACCGTGGTGGATGAGTACACAAGAGCTTTATATATTGTGTATATATTGTATACATTGTGACTTGAGTGAGGCTTTTGATGCTGTCTCCCATAACATCCTCATAGGCAACCTGACAAAGTATGGGTTAGATAAGCAGACAACAAGGTGGATTGAAACCTGGCTGAATGGACAGGCCCAGAGGGCTTTAATCAGTGGCAAAAAGTCCAGTTACGATGGCTATGCTGCCATACAGAAGGACCTTAACTGAAGAAATGGGCTGGCTGATAGGAAGATCAACACAAGAAAATACAAAGTCGTTCACCTGGGGAAAAACAACCCCAAGCTCCATTATATGTGGGGGGCTGACCATCTGGAAAGCAGCTTTGCAGAAAAGGACTTGGGGGTCCTAGCTGACAATGGGCTGACCATCTGGAAAGCAGCTTTGCAGAAAAGGACTTGGGGTCCTAGTTGACAATGAGCTGACAATGAGCTAGCAATGCACCCTCATGGCGAAGGCGGCCAACAGCATCCCAGGCTGCATTAGGGGGATTGTTGCCGACAGGTCAAGGGAGGTAATCCTTCATCTCTACTCAGCACTGCTGAGGAAACATCTGGAGTACTGCATCCAGTTCTGGGCTCCTTGGCACAAGAAAGATGTGGACACGCCGGAGTGAGTCCAGCAAAAGGTCCACAAAGACGATTAAGGGACTGGAGAATCTTTCTTATGGGGAGAGGCTGAGAGAGTTGGGACTGTTCAGCCTGGAGAAGACTCAAGGGGAATTTTATCAATGCATATAAACACCTGACGGGATGCAGTGAAGAAGAGGGAGCTAGCCTCCTCTAAACAGTGCCCAGTGAGAGGACAAGAAATAACAGGCACAAGCTAAAACACATGAAATGGCATTTCAAAACAAGAGAAAAAGAAAAAAAAAACCAAAAACAAAACACCACAAAATTTTTTTACTGTAAGGGTGGTCAGACACTGGCACGGGCTTCCCAGAGAGGTTAGAGAGTCTCTATCCTTGGAGATACTCAAAACCCAAGTGAACACAATCCTGGGCAACCTGCTGTAGCTGATCCTTCTTGAGCAGTAGGGCCAGATTAGACAGTCTGAAGAAATCCCTTCCAAGCTAATGAGTCTGTCATTCTGTTACTCTAAGTAGAAGAAAATAAACAACAATGGGGAAGTATATGGGAAGTGTTACACAGAATTTATCAGTGAGACATGATACAGTGAATTAAAAGTCCTTTCAGTTCTTGCAGGCATCCCAAAAAAGGAGCATTCTTCAGATGAGATACAGTGAAGGAAGCTTAGCTTTGTGGAAGGTTTGGAGAGCTCCCATAAACAGGAAGGTTGGGCACTGACTGGGAGAGGTAAAGAAATCCTTCTCTGATTATAGAACAAGCATACACTAGGCTGAAGACAGTTAGGTTATACACCATGATTTTAAGAGATGACACAGCGAGCTTTATGTTCAATGTGAGACAAGAGGCCAATGCAGAGATGCAAAGAAAAGATGGTCATATGAAGCTATAGAGTCACTGGTACAGAATTTCAAATTGCTTAGAATGAGAGCAGGAAACTGCAGATGACTCAGGTCCAGGATTTAAAAATCAGGAGAAGAAGCAGAGAAGGCTGAGCTACTGTCAGGAGAAGCAAGCTTAGACACAATTCACAGCTAGCACCACAGAACCATTTGAGACTGGACGCCAAGACATGAGGCGGACTACGCAGGTTCCATACACTGGCTCCCATGTATGTAATCTAAGCAGATTTTATTCTCTTCCTGGGGATGGAGGAATAAAGAGCAGAAACAGAAAAGCAGCAACTACACATCTGATCTCGAGGCTGATTTGTGCAAAATAATACATTTGTGATAACCCCACTAGTAGTAATACAGTACCTCAATAACAAGTTGGGAGTAGGAAATGCAAGGCTGTGAGACATCTTATAGGGCTGCAAGTTTTTGAGAAATGAAGTAGGAATTAACTGGGAAGCAAAGCCACAGCTCTTGTGAAGCTTATTTATAACAAAATTATAAACTCCCCAGTATTTTCGATGGAAGGTTTACAAGCTTGTACATTAGGACATCACAGATATCAAAAAAGGAAGCAATGAAAATAGATGCAATGCTTATTCCAGTAGTTTAATATTCCATGAAAAAGTTGTCACTGGTTTTTATTTTAAACCTTTGTTTAACTCAACCCCGAAAAAAAATGAATGCAAGGAAGGACCTTTGACCACCCAACCCTCTAGGGAAGGGCTGGCAAAGCTCCTAATTCCATCTGTTTCTGAAATAGAAGAATGTAAGTGTCCATGACTGCATTTAGGCCACATTCATGAAACATAACCAAAGCACAACAGGGGTGGGAAAGCATTTTATATTTACAGATCTTGATCTTTTCCTATCGGTGTCATTACAGAAGCTCTTATTCCCCTGGGAGAAGAATCAGGTCTGTAGCTGAGAAAACAGCTCCAGCTCCTTTATACACAAATTATGAACCATTTCTGTGCCAGAAACACAATGCCCAGCATGTAACCACTGACCTCTTCAGTTCCCACAGTTCAGCATTAGCATGGTGACAAGCCCAGGAGAGTCTGATGGGAGCAGATGCTGTTATGCTACCTTCCACCTGGCTGCTTTTCCAACCAATGGAACCATTTTTACAAAGTCAAGACAGATTACTAGCAACACATACCCACACCACCTTTTTCTAGTGCCAAGAATAATATTTATGGCTTTTCAAAGCCCCCATCTGTTGGGCATGGATCCAAGTTGAAAGGTAAGAAACAGCAGAAGTGATTCTTCTCACACAAATGCCAGCATATACAAAATTTCAGAAAGACAGTTTGACACATGTCTGAAGTGGGAAATGTGCAGAACAAAACAAGGTGCTCAAACCCCATTATCTATAAAGAAACAAGAAAGAAAATTTATATACACCAAGGGGACCCTTTGAGAGGCAAGGGGAATGAGTTAATGGAAGAGAGAGGAACAACTAGCTTTGATAAGAACTGGATGTGGAGAATTTTAAAGCGTACATATTGGGCTATACTTACAACTTGAACACATGGAAACTCTCCAGACACTGGCTCAATATGGGTCATCCTTGCAAAACTAATTTCAATGGCTTCTCAACCAGATACAATAAATGTTATGGAGCAAATTTAGCTTTGTTGTGTTTCCATGAAAGTCAAGAAATTATACAGACTGAGCAGTCCTGACAGAACATTATTCTGCTTCAGCAGTAGAGGGCTGCAGGGGTAATCTGTGTGAGAGGATGCCATGAACAGCCCTGTGCCAGTCACAGTTGATTCCAGCAATCTCCAAAATGGTTAAAAACAACAATCCATCAAAACCTCAATCGGTCAGGAGCACAAGCTACCTTTGCTCAAACATGCTTTGCAAAGGACAATAGCCACTAGGGGCAGGAGACACAAGAGACACACAAAAGGAACCTCAAGGACACATGGGAGGATGCACAGAAGGTGAAATGCAAGATACGTAAAAAGACACGTGGAGAAAAGGAGACATGTAGTAGGGGACATTGTTGAGGACATGGCTGGAAAAGCAGCCTTGGGAAGAGGTGCTCCATGGCAGGAGGAGTACACTTTGAGAGGCAACTGCAGCCCATGGAGAACCCATATAGGAGCAGAGGAGCAGCAAGAAGAAAGGAGCACCAGAGGAAAAAAATAAAAAGCAAGGACTGGAAGAAAGAAACCTTTACAGTGACCCCAACCTCCTGCACCACCCAGCACCTCAAAGGAATTAGGAGGGACTTAGTGTTATAGCAAATAAAACAAGGAAAGCTGAGACTAGGAAGCAGGGAGGAGAGGCAATAAACTGTAGTGGACCCTAGGAAAGTGGGAGGTGTTTCCCTAAGTGTGTGTTTAACCATTTGTCTTTGACAGCATCAGCAAAAATTGCAAAGCTTGGAGAAGACTAGGGGGAGGGAAACCACTGTACAAAATGCACATATTAGAAGCTAGTATAGAAATTCTCTAGAGAGACATTTTGTAGAGAGATCATTCAAATGTGGATCCTCAAAATTTCCAGTTTTAGAATTCACTTCACACTTGCCACCACCTCTTTCCTCTTCCAGAAGCGTGTCCCCAAAGAGCCAGGGAAAAACAGAAAGGTGGCAGGGTATATTAAGCTAATACAGATACTGGTAGCAAATAAAACCAGATCACTCTACAAAGACATTAGCATCACAGGGATTACTAAATATAGACCTATGCAAATTGCCAAGCCCAGTAAACTCTGCAACAAGAACGTATTAAGTTACCATGAATCAAAACTGCAAGACAAGCAAGTCCTAAGTGTCTTTTGTTTTTCTTATCAGAAGTTAGATGTAAGCAGGTATTATGCTGCTGGAAGCCTGCAGGCTCACAGCCTCTGGAAAGCACTTCCTTTGTTTCCCAACCCTGGCTGCAGGGTCAGCAGAGACTAGTGCTTCTCAC